CTTTAAGTGACGAAAATTGTGGATTTTATATTACATGATTCTTTTAATCTCAAAACATAAATAACATTAAAAAAAAACACTAAAGTCACTGAAAACATTTCCAAAACTGTATTTGGATATATCATTTTGGCCCACAACCCACAAATACTGGCACTAAAAGACCCTTTCTGACTCAAGTACTTCTGCAGTACTTTCTCCAATATCTCTCTCTACAAGGAATTTCAAAAATGGATGAAAAGGGGCTGGGGATTTAGTTCAGCGGCATAAGCGCCTGCCTTGCAAGTGCATAGTCGTGAGTTTGATCCCGGTACCAAGAAAAAAAAAAAAAAAACAGAAATGGATGAAAAACTTAATTCAAAATTCTAACAAGAGGTCAGTTCAACTAATTTCAATCAAATTCGTAGGACCAGCACATACACAGATTCAGAGCCAGCCTCAAGGAATTTACAGCTTAAGGCTCACAGTTTCCTTCTAGTCTGGTAACTCCCACAGCAATAGGATGAAGCCCAGCCATGCTCCTCTCTACAGAGACAGCTTCCTTTTCCTACAGAAATTTACTCAAATCAAGTAAGCACTTACAGGGTAGTGCGGGGCTGAGGGTCTGCAGGCAGCTTCCACACTTTTCCTAGCACACCAGGCATGCCTCTCATTACATTTACATGTGGTTGGCTGGCAGGCCACATGTCACAATGGCTGACTATGGCTGACAAGTTAGTAATTTGCAGCTCAAAACAAATAATACATTTATAAATAACAGTCCTCCTTGACAAACCACTTATTGTCCTGGGTCTTACAACAAAATTAAACTACAAACTATGCACTATTAAAGCACTGAGGAATTGTTGTCACTCATATATATTAAGTTTTCTCCAGCAAGCATTATAGCAAACTGTGTTTAAAACAAGAAATACTTCTTTGAGAATTTTTGGAAGACACCATAATTTAGTGTAACTTAGCACTTCTTTGAGTGATTTTTTTTAAAAACCTCTTTTTAACAACTTTTCTACACTTCAAGTACCATAATCACTCAAATAATTCTCAGTAACCACTTGGTACCCAGATTCTGAGCCTGCTGGAGAGGAACAGTTTCCAGTAATGTACAACTATGACAGCTGTGATTAAGACTATCAGATCTGATTTTGTTTGCTTTGCTCTTGTAAGTAATTGATATACTTACTACTATTTAAACCACAGCAGTTCAACTCTCTTATTATTTTTAATCCAACAGGAAAACATCATTTCTGGTTGTTGGTAGTAATGAGTGTTTTTTGATAGTCCAATGAGAAACTGGATTAAGCAAAAAGCTAAACACTTTCATTAATTTAATAAACTGTCTTCATTAATTGATCCAACCATCATTCATTTAATATCTATCCCATATAAAGGATACAAAAAGCAGTAATAAATAATTAGGACTCTTAAGGAGTTTATACATTAATAGTGGGTTGATTGAAATTACTTATTTTAAAAGAAAGACAATATAGGGGCTGGGGATTTAGCTCAGCGGCATAAGCGCCTGCCTCGCAAGCAGGCAGTCGTGAGTTCGATCCCCAGTACCAATAAAAAGGAAAAAGACAAAAAAAAAAAAAAAAAAGACAATCTAGTTTCTCAGATCCTTTTCATGTGCCACCAACGGTGTGTAGAAAGCCAAGAGTTAATTGTGACATCTGTGATACACTCAGCTGGTATCCCCCTCTTTCTTCACTCTTATCCTCCTCACCCCAGGATTCTTTCCTTTCAGTTAAAAAGTAGATAGATGTTCAAGGTTTGACTCTCATTCACTAAAACCACAATTTGGGTCTATTAGTAGGTTATTAATATTAAAACACTAAGTGATACAGATCTTCTAAGGTCAGCCATTGAAAGTTATTGTATCTCTGTATAACATTCATTCCAAGAACAGAAAGAACAAACTTCCACAGAGAATTCCTGAAACCATTTGCAGTGTCTCGGAGGTCTTCCCACGGAAGCTTCCTACTCCTCCAACAGGCAATTAAATCATTCCACCTTTTTCTTCTACATCAAATATAGTATTTTTGAAAGCACCAGTCCATTTGGCCATGATATATGGCCCACCATAAACACCAACTGGTGCAAAGTAAAGTAAACCTGCAAAATAACACTCTAGAGGCCTGGACCCATGAATCAAGGACAGAGACATTTGTCCAAGATTAGCCTAATCAATCAATCAGCTTGAAAAATCAGTATCAAGCAAAGGAATTCTACCTTCCTTGAACTCCATCCAAGAAGCCCTAAGCAGGCCCAAGTATGGAAATAGGCTAGAGGCACAATTAAAACATGAGGTTCTAGAGTAGGACTGTCTGACTGCAGATCCAAGCTCTACACTTAATGGAAACAGTAGCTTCTCTGTGACTCAGTTTCCTCATACAGAACTGGATGGTAACAGCACCTACTCACAGGATTAAAGAGAGAATAAAATGAGATCCTATTTAAAGAGCTCGGGACAATTTCTAGTTCACAATACACAGTAAGCAAGTATGTTCTCCTATATCTACTATTTTCAGAGGTTACCTGAACTATCACTAAGTTCCTAAAGTGAACTGTCAACAAGTCAACTACTAATGTTTGACTGATTGGGGCCCACAAACATCCCTATCAGAAAGTGGCATTATCCTTATTTTAGAGTCCAAATATTTAGAAAGGTTCAGAAACTCATCTAAATTTACGCAGCTCATAATAAGTGGTACAGCAATGAAACTTTTGATCACATCCCAGCAAAGTTTGCATTATATCATCTACCTCTAAAGGCTTATTTTAAAATAAAGATTCCACATCTTAGTATCACTACCCAGTGAATGAAATTACGTTCTCATAAATCCTCCTTGCATCTTCCTACTAAATCAGCATATTTATCTATAGAACTAGAACACCTGACAAATTCTGAGAAATTATCAAGCACACAAAATTCTTTTTCTTAACAGAACAAAATAACAAAAAGGTCTGGGTAAATCATTGTGATCACTTCAATTAAATGCCTTTAAAAGTTCAAAAGTACTGGGGCTGGAGATTTAGCTCAGCGGCATAAGCGCCTGCCTTGCAAGCAGGCAGTCGTGAGTTTGATCCCTGGTACCGATAAAAACGAAAAAGACAAAAAAAAAAAAAGTTCAAAAGTACTACAGATTCACAGTATAGCAAGGCATTTTCCTTTCAGGATCTGTAATTTGATCCTAAAGAACAAACCACACACTCCAACTGGGCTGGGCTGTATAACATCTCTCTTTCCATGTTTGCTAAGTGTGTAACAAAACTGACAAATTAATAGTTACTCCAAATATCCTCTTCAATCTGCTCTTACCCTCTTTAGGAAGACTTATTGTCAATTAATTGCCATAAAAGAAAATATAATCAAATTAAATTGAGTATATCATGGCAACTGATCTCACTGATTATCTTTTAAAATTTCCATATTAAAATCCAGAAGTATTAATAATCATACACATTTGTATCTCCAAATACTTAGTAAGCTAACAACCTCCAGGAAAAATGAGTGATAAACAAGCCATGTTTATGAAGTGTTTGTCCCTATCAAGTGAATTGGTTACCCAGTTTCCTAAAACAAAGATCATAATAATTGTAAGTCCATAAGGAGTTCAAAATAAAAAGTATGTTTGACTTGTCTAAGAAGTGACATGAATAAGCAGAGTCATATAATTTTACTTCACTTGCTTCTCACCTTATCCAACTACTACCGTCTTGTAATCCTTTTTAGTAAACACAAACGAGATAATAAAATTTGTAGGATGAAGTAGAAGAGAAGCTAAAATCCATAATATTTCAAGAATTTATTACAATTTCAATAACCTGAAACTCCAATTCTCTGAAAAGCAGAAAGCAGAAAGCAGAAAGACAACTGTAAAAGTCAAATATTTATACAGGTGTCTTAAAAGCCACTGCTGAGTGTACACCATGAGCACTGACATTTATTATCTGTTAAGTGGTATCAAAGTGCAATAGCACAAGTCATATAGCTAGCTTGGAGTGTGAAGTTTATGACAACTAATTCTGTGAAGGTGTGATACTTGTCATAACTTTCATCAAGCCAACAACAGGCAGCCAAGCTTGTGGCAAGATACGACCTGGGCACAGGTGCCTTTTCTCATTTCAGAGGGAAACATAAACCGATACCTTCATGGATAATTTAACAAGGATTGTTCCATAAATTTATAATGTCTTTTATACCTCTCATAATTGCTTTTTAATACCTTCCAAAAACAATATGCTTATGACAAAAGTAACCGAGAGCATAAAGTATAAAGCTATTTCAGCTTCAAATTGGGAAAATGGGAAAAGTTTAATAGTGAAAGCCATAAACCTCTAAGGCCACATTCCATAAATGCGGAAAAGAATTTTCAGAAGTGATAAAATTCCGTATGATGGAGTGATCCCTAATGAATGATAGATTGTTTAAATTTATAATTACAATTACCTTCTATTATTCTTATAATTCTAAGGAATGTTCCTTTTAAGAGTAAAAAGAAAAATAGGAGAGAGAAACACCATTTGTGAACACTGAACTAAACTCCAGATCCTTAACTTCTCAGATGATGATTGTTGCTTCTCCTCTTCATCGCTGGGCAGGAATAAAACATGTGTATTGAGAAATAAAGAAATCAGGCCAACTTCAAGTAACACTACCCTCACATCCCAAGTTTACTTCCAAGGTTCACTATACCACTTCTTACTTCAAAGTAGAATCTGCCTGTTTAATATATGAGAGTCATTTCAAGTTTTCAGCTGAGGACTAACATTAGGAAGTAAAACTTTAAATACAAGTTTTTAAAATATGAGGGGCATGGCCAACTTATATCCAGTACGGGGCCCAGACAGGAATGGGATCCCCGCCTCTCCATTTTCTGACGCCTAGCCTGGCGCGGGGGGGGGGGCGGGAGAGAGGTATATAATCAAAAAGTTGCAGTCAAGATTGGAGAACCAAGGATGCCCAGAGATGCCACAAGTGGCTTGGACAGTTAGTTCCTCACCTTGCACTTAGGTCCTGAGGGGGCCCAGCCCATCCCTGGCTCTTAGAGGTCGAGGGTCCCCCGCAGCCTCAATTTGGCTCCCGTTAATCGGAGAGGAGCTGGGGACACAGCTAAAGTGGCCCCTCCGGTCCCCTGCAGACGGCGTGCCGGCGCGCGGCACCAATCCCGCCCTTCCCTCACGGCTGGGCGGGTCCGCAAGGTCCCGAGGGGCGTCAGGAAGGCAGTGGGCAAAGGGGCCTGGATGGGGCGGCCCCACAGAGCCCTCCGGGCGCCTGGACGGCAGACGCAGCCGGGCCTAAACGGGCGGTTCCGCGCCCTCTCCGGACCGCGCCAGACACCGGGGCAGGCGACGCCCCACGCCCCTGCCGCCGCCCGGCCAGGTCTCCGGGACAACAGCCGCCGCCGCACTTCCGAGGCGGGTCCCACGCCCGCCCGCGGCCCGCCGCCCACCTGTCCCGGGGGTCGATCCAGCTGGTCCTCCTGGTGTTGTGGTCAATGTAGAAGACCTTGCCGTCGTAGTCTCTGGCCTCCTCCCAGCCCCGGGGTAGCGGCAGCTGCCCGCTCCCGGCCCTCCTAGGCATGGTCGGCGGCCTCGCTGGCGAGCGGCGCCTCCATAGGCACCGGGCGCGGGACGCAGCGGGAACGCGACTGCCCGGCCCGGCCGCCGCCCCCGACGCGGACGCCGGCGAGAAGCTGCGGGGCGCGGCGGGGCCACGCGCGGGGGGCGCCTCAGGAAACCCTGCTCTCGGCCCCGCCGGGAGTCAGTCCACCATGTCTGCGTCGAAGCAGGCGAGCGAACCCCCCTCCTCCTCGCCGCCGCCTCTGCCTCTGCCTCCGCCTCTTCCTCCTCCTCCTCCGCCTCGTCCCGCTGTGGCGGCCGAGGGTCGCGGCGCCCAGGCTGCCCGAGCAGACGCCGTCTGGGCTCGGATCCGTGAAGCTCCGCGGAGCAGCGGCCCCGGCGGCCCTGGCCTCCTCATTTGCATGCTATTAGCATGGCCCCGCCCTGGCGCTCGGCTCATCTGCATGCACATTCCTCGCCGCTGCATTCCTGGGTTTAACCCTGCAGAGCCCGGGACTCCCTGCCGGAGCTTCGACCCCCGGCCGAGCCGGGGGCGGGGCCGAGCCGGGGGCGGGACGGAGGCCCTGGGGACCAGGTGGGAGGGAGGAGAGCCGAGGAATGCTTGGCTCGCTCCCTCCCCTTTATTCCAAACTTCTCTCAACAGCCAAACTCCTAGGGTTTTTAGAGTTTCGGTATGAGAAAGTTTGCAAAAGAGAAGCCTCCGCAACCTTTTCAATCCCTTTCCATCTTCTAGGGAAACCGCAAGACTTTGGAGAGGAAAGGGGTGGGGGAAGCTGTCCTGGGAAGGAGTCCAGGCAAACGGCCGGGGCACAAAAGCTCCCCCACGCAGCACCCTGGGCCTTTCGGAACTCGGGGGGCGGGGAGAGCCAGGGCGAGGGCGGCGGGGCGCGGAGAGCAGCTCCGAAAGCTGCGCCTCGGGGCCTCTGCGGGGCGCCGGGCCCTCGATGACCTCAGGAAGACCTCAGGCCTCGCGGCGGAAGGCGAAGGCGGGTCCCGCGCTCCGAGAGCCCGCGACACGCACGCCCCGGTGGCCAGCGGAGAACTGCGGCCTGACCCGAGAAATGACCTGGTCGCCGCTGCCAGCCAGCCGCAGGCCCGGAGCGCAGAAGCACCCGCACCTCCTCAACCCCGTCGGAATGCGCCTTCCATGGGGTCCCTGCGGCGACAGGGGCTCTTCTGTCGGCTTCCCCTGCTAGGTCTAGGACCAGCACCCAGTCCTTTCCGTCCAGCCCTCCGCCCTGGAAGTTCCCCACCCCAATCCTGAACGAGGCCAAGGAGGTGTAGGCGACCACGCTTGAGGGAACCCAAGGAGGGGAAGCCAGGGCCCAGATTTGCTTTGGCCCATCCAGGATGGAACGCAGATCTCTCAGGAGGATTAATTAATTCTGCAGCTACTATGTGTGGGTCTGCACTGAGGAAAGGCCGGACGTCGAACTCCGGATAGGACAATGCTGGGAGCAGCGAACAGGAGGGGCCTGGACACTGGACAAACTCAGTGTGCCCAGCGGCTCAGAGGAGGACGAAGCTTCCCAGCCCCCAGACTCCTCTCAGCCTGGTCTGCAGCACTGTGCCCTGTTCATATTTCAGGTTCCTAAGCTTTTAGATTCTTTTAGAACACTAATATCCATGGCAGACAGTCCCCCCAAGCCCAATTATTGACCTCTCGGTGTGAATTCTCTTAATCCTGCTTGCTAATGCGAAATGACTTCCTACCTTGTGCTACGCCTGGCCAAGGTTTTCCAAGGGTTTGGAGAAACCTTTTCTGCCTGTGTTCCCAGAAATTCGAAGGCTTTAACCGCTCCACGCCGATTCGTGTAGAACCTGCCCCGTGGTGAGGGGTGAGATAGGGACAGAATCCTCTAACAGTGGTCCAGGACATTTGCAGTCAGTCTCTTAAGGTGTAGCAGGCTGCTGCTCAACATAAGGGTGTAGGCTCAGGCGGAGAAACAAGCTTCACAGAGAAGACTGGATTCTCCTCGGGTGAGGGTCCTAATAGATGAAAAAACTTGTATCTGCACCCGAAGCCCTCTAGATGAAAAGGAAAAACTTTAAACTGCCAGAAACCTTGGAGAACTTGGAACGCCTGGGAAGGAGCAACAGAATCAGCGGGAAATGAGGATGAGAGAGGCTAGGGACGAATTTCCTAACTTTGGCTATTTTTCTAGGTCTTCCTCCATTCCACTAGCCTGTGGAAGTTAGGCTTTTTGGCTAGCCAGGTCTTCTCCTAATCAGTTTTCTCTTCCCTACTCCCTCCATTGATGGGGGAAAGGGAAATGGTCCAACAAGGTCCTCAGGGGAAAAAGACAGCCAGCTGGGTAGTCCTAAGGTTCAACTTTTGAATGTTGTGAAAAAGACTGAGCCTGTTTACAATTAATCTCACTCACACTACTTGAGTACATGTGCTTTGTTTTGGACTGCCCAAAATTGGTCCACCTGCAAGGCCAAAATTTACTAGTAGCATCAGTCAGACCCAACTATTCTTAAACAGTGCTTCCTAGCTTTTCTTTTCTCCCTCAAACAATTTGAAAACATTTATTGTGCTAAAATGTCAACACCCTATTTAAACAACATCAAAGTGACACATTTTGCTGTTGTCATAATTTAACTTGTTTCACTGAGATGAATTATCACATAATAGTTCTCAGTATAATTTCAAATTTGGTAAACTTTCAGCTAAATACTACTACCCAAATGATGAGAAATCTATGATAGATCACAGTCTTCAATGGCATGTATTGTTCCATAAATCCTCAAACTTCAAAAAGAAGCACTAAACAGACAAACCTCCAAAGCGTTTCTCTTGGGTCTCTCTCACTGATTGACACTAGAAATATTTGGTCATACAAAAGCAGTTAAAATGACAGAAAAAAGAGTGTGCTCTACAGCTTTTTTCTTGTTTTGATCAAATTTGAGTTCTGTTGTTCTGATTTCACATAATCTACGCAGGAGCATCCCTTCACAGAATCCTTAGTAGTTTAGACAATGAAACTCATTTATATTCATATCTGAGAAAACAACATAAATGTGAAAATCATCTCCTATTAGGGAGATGGATGGATTTAGATTTGATTTGGGCTCCTAGTGATCCTTGTCAAGAAAGATGATGCAATCTGCTACTTTATACACTAGATTACCAGGTATTGGACACTGAAGAGTCTAATCACTGGCCCTCAAATTTTCCTTTCTCCTGGCTTTACATTTTCTCCAGTGCTAACTGTTATAGGAATCAAGATGCTACCATCAATGTCCCAATACTCGTGCAGGAAAATTAGTAATATAAAAAACAAGAGTAGACAATAAAAACTAGTTCAAAAGATTGTCCTGTTATACACAAATTTAAAGTGTGTTTATAACCTTTAACCCAGCAATGTGAATGCAATGATTTTAGTAGATATTAAAGTTCCAGAAGATATTACACGGTGTTCATTTGCAGCGTGTTTGAAAATAACCAAACCAGGGGCTGGGGATTTAGCTCAGCGGCATAAGCGCCTGCCTTGCAAGCAAGTAGTCGTGAGTTCGATCCCTGGTACCAATAAAAATGAAAAAGACAAAAAAAAAAAAAAAAAAGAAAGAAAGAAAAGAAAAGAACCAAACTGGAAAAATCACCAGTGGCCATCAGTAAGAGACTGATTAAATTATAAATTATACATATTCAGCAAGCATCTTTAAAGCACCAAGTAAACACATATGTGCTTATAAGGAAAGATGTCCAGGTTACATTAAGTGAAAAAAGCAAGATCCAAAACGACACTTGCTGGCTAACTTCTATGAAGTTACAATCCAATTCAGGAGGTAGGACCAACCAAAAATGTAAAGAATGGCAATCTCCTATACACTTACTTTGTGTCAAAGGAATGACACATAGAAGAAATTTTTTTGGAGGATAAGGGCTGTCAGACATATATATAAGGTAAGTGATCAGTAAAGGAAAAAAAATAGGGTAGAGGTGAGCAGATGTGCTACCAAAATGGGCAAGCATGGCTGGCATGCTTGTGCAAAGAAATGAATGTGCAAAGTTCAAAGAGGAATCTGGCATGAAGGAGTCCAAGACTGGCTGGAGCCATAGAGCTAAGGAGGCTGTGATGAAAGTACAGGTATGAAACAGATAAGGGCTGGGATTAGAAATAAGGCAATGAAGGATGAAAAGGAATGATCTGGCAAGAATTTGAGACTGATTAGATTAAGACGGGAGAGGTAAATAGTCTAGAAGGAGGAATCTGGGATGGATCCAAGATTTTAGACTATTGAGAGAGATGCCAAAAACTGGGGAGGGGGGGGATGAGGAAGTCCAAAGGGGAATCTGATTTAGGGTTTGATTTTAGAAAATAGAAACACACAGCAAAAAAATATTAAAGATCAAGACTAAAACTCAAGTGAAAGGTCAGGGCTCCAAACACAGGTGGTGTCACCAACTAAAGTTCAGAGAGAGCTGAGGTTCCTGGACTGCCTCTGAGGAAGGAAATGTCAATGTAAGTGGGAGAACAGAATTAAGTAACCCATCTGTGGTCCAACTTTTGGCCTCTAACTCTTCAGTAATGTGATATGACTTTGTTTATTTCTTTGTGGTCTGCATTTTCAGTGATGTGTGTAAGAAATGCTTGTTAGTGTGGAAACCATCTTTGAATGAATTATTGTTTTAGCCTTTATTGTTATGCAGGTGAATCAACTCTGTGCAGGACAAGATGAACTGGTTTTCAATTTGTAATAGTCCTTGTTTTCTCAAAGGATTATATAAGCTGGAAATTCCAAATAAAGAGAACATTCTTTTTTTCTAAATCAAATCAGAGTTGTGTTTTTTTACTCTTCTGCAAGTGAACTGGTTAAAGTAAACACTA